TTAAGTGTTGTCAAGTTGGTTCTGACTCACAGCAACCCTGTATAAGGCTTCAGAGGAAGAGCTGGTGGGTTTGAACTGCTGACCTTGTGGTCTGAAATCCAGCGCAGACCCTACTGCATCAAATAGTACTTGGAAAACTGGAAATCCATATCTCATACCATACAAAAATGAACTCAACACAGACGAAAGACCTAAATGTAAAACCTAGCTACATCTATAACGATCATCAATGAAAAAACAGAGACAAACTTAGGGGCTCTGATACACAGCTTAAATACATTATCAACTAAAACTGAAAACATACAAATGGAAGACAAAATAGAGACTGGGACCTCCTAAGAATGACACATTTATGTGCATCAAAGGATTTCACCAAAAAAGTAAAAAGAGAATCCACAGACTGGGAAAAATGTTTGATAATGTCTTATCAGTCAAAGGACTACTCTGCAAAATTTATAAAATACTTCAACACCTCAACAAGAAGACAATTAATCCAATTTAAAAAAGTGGGCAGAGGGCATGAACAGATACTTCACCAAAGAAGACATTCAGGTGGCTAACATACATCTGAAGAAATGTTCACCATTGCTAGCCATTGTTGTTGTTAAGTGTCATCGAGTAGGTTCCAACTCATAGCGACCCTGTATAGGGTTTCCAAGGAGTGGCTGATGAGATTGAACTGCTAACATTGTGGTTAGGGAGATGCACATCGAAACAACAATGAGATATCATCTTTTCCAGCATTAATGGAAAAGTTTTTTAAAAAACAACCCAAAAAACAACAAATGCTGGAGAGGTTGTGGAGAGACTGGGACCCTCCCATACTGCTGGTGGCACTGTACAATGGTACAAACACTGCTCCATAAGGTTTCAAGGCTGAGACTTCTCAGAGCAGAACAGACTGTAGACCAAGAATGTGGTCTTTCAGAAGCAGAATGCCATGCCAGTCTCCCAAGGTGCTTTTGGGTGGGTTTGAACTGCCAACCTCTCTGCTAGTAGTCAAGTGCTTGTTTGCGCTACCCGTACACACTGTGTGCCCTCTAGTCAATTCTCATTGGGTATCTTCTGAGACTGTAAATCTTCATGGGAGTAGAAAGCCTCATCTTTCTCCAGTGGGAGCAGCTGGTGGATTTGAACTGCTGACCTTGTGGTTAGCAGCCCAACTTGTAACTCACTATGCTAGCAGGGTTCCTTCCCATATATGGTAAGGAAGGTCAACGTGACTTTTTCTGTCAGAAGGACAGTATCAGAAACTAGCTGACTAACAAGACGGACATTGATTTTTCACTACAATTTTGCTGCTTTAATTCCTACTTGTGCCTCTTAAAAGCCAGTAGGAAATGGGTGCTAAGCTGAAGACTAACAACAAAATAAAAGGTCAAAGTGAATAAAGGGTGAGGAAGATAGTAGAGGGGGTAAGAAGAAGCCAAAGGGGGAAATGATAAATTGTTGTACTAATAAATACCTTAAGGAAGTCTGATTAGAAGCCATGTTTATAGCAAATGGAATTGGGAGAGACAATGAACCAAGAATTATAATCTTAGTGATAAAAATATTACAGGTCAAAAACCTGACACATACTAGTGTCCAATCAATCATTTTCAAACAAATCCAGTAGCAATGTGGACATATACAAATGTAATCTTTAAAAACAAAAAACAAACAGGAAAAAATGTCACATTAGTAAAAAGACAAGGGAGGATAAAGCAAGTAAATGAATATATATCGTTGCTAAATTGGTACACAATATTTCTTTATATGCAGTTGACTTTGGGATGTAATGAGTTGCAAATGTGTGTAATGTGAAAATGTCCTTTATCATTTCAAGGGGCACTTATTTTGTTTTAAAAGAGATGAGAGATGGAAAATGTGTTTGGATAATGAAAAATACTGAATAGGAGGATGTAGGTGAAAACTCTGAACTTAAAAAGCACTTAGACTGTGGGAAGAATATGCACACTAAATAGGGTTCTTCAGAAAGTGACAAAACAGCATCTCAGAAGGTTGGATAAGAAGGGGCAGTGACTTCTTGTTAGTTTCATTGTTAAGTGCCATTGAGTTGGTTCCTACCCATAGCGAGCCTGTATAGAGTTTCTGAGGAGCAGCTTGAACTTGAACTGCCGACCTTGCGATTTGGTGGTGGATCTATTTGGAAAAGGGCAGCTGGAACATTATAAAACTTGAAGAATGTAACATCACTGAATTGTACATTTAGAATTTGTTGTGCATATATTTACAAAAGATCTTTCAAAAATGGCTATCTTCAGTAAATAAAGATGGCCCAAACCTAAGGGTTTATTTTTCAGATTGTAAAGGAAAACAGGAGAGTGAGGTGGTTTAAGTACCTTCTAGCTGTATGACTTTAACCTGAGACTCAGTTTCCTCTAGGAAAGTGGAGATAATAATATACACACCTTGGGGATTGCTGGGAGGATTAATTAAGATGGAGCCTGTAACGAACTTGGCATTGTGCCTACTGCATTGTACATGCTTCATAAACGTTAGTTGTTATTATAAACGACTGACAGAAAAGCCAAAGAGCAGCGAAACTTTTAAACATCTCTATAATTACATGAATTGTGATGCAATGAGTTAAAATCTTGCTTGTTTTTTCTTCTAAATTGGATTTTGTAAGCTAAACATCATTCTCTCTGTATCTGAGAGCAGTTGCTAGGAGAAACTGGCAAAAGGCAATAAAGTGGTGAACTCAGCTATTGTTCCTAAAATAAGTATGAAATGAGATGGGAGGCTTTTCAATGACTTCTTTCTTTTGAGAGGGGAAAAAAACAACTTTCCAAATGCAGAAGGTAAGGCTAGGATATTGATTGGATGGTGGCTGGAGATAGACTTAGAAGCCAGGAGCACAGAAACCAAGTTGTTGCCAAGAGCCAAAGAGATGTTCTGGTTATGAAAAATGCATAGCTAGGTATTGCATGCAATTACCTATGGATTGATGTATTTGTGTATCTTAATGAGAAAAGTTGACACTGAATGATGGACATGGTATAAGAATCTATAGACACGTATCCATTTTACTGGAGAAAAATTGTATAGTGGGCAAGACAAGGTCCTAGGGTGGCGCAAACAGCTGACGTACTGAACTGCTAACCAAAAGGCTGGAGGTTTGAATCCTTTCAGGGTTGCCTCAGAAGAAAGCCCTGGTGATTGACTTCCCAAAAATCAGTTCGTGAAAACCCTATGGAGCATAGTTCTGCTCTGACACATATGAGGTTGCCATGAATAGACTCCATGGCAACAGATTTTGGAAAGGAGACAGTTTGTACAATGGTCACGTGTGTAGGTGGTGAAGTCTACAGATGTATTGGAATAGTTGGACTTGGTTATGATCAGTTGTGTGGATCCAACATGTTAATCTCTTTAAGATTGTCTCCTCAACTATGAAATGAGAAAAACACTATTTGCTTAGGAGGCTTTTCATGAGGATCAAATGAGAGAGAATCTGAGACGTACAGTAAGTCCAACAAATTCTTCATCACAAGCCATCTTCACCTGTTGCCCATGCAGCATTTAAATAATCCAGTCTTTTCTTGCCTCAAAGCTAAATAAGAACCATATGCATCTGTTCTGACTTATCTACACATTTTTGACTTAGACATGCTTAGGAATGGAGTGTATTCATAACTGGGGACTGCGTGTACTTAACATCCGAAGGATTCCTTCAGTGAATACTACTGGCAGCACTAACGTGTTTATTAACAGAAGTTGTTGTCAAGTTGCTGTTAAGATGGTTCTGACTCAAAGTGACTCTGTATAGGATTTCCAAGAAGCAGCCAGTGGATTTGAACCACCAACCTTCTAGTTAGCAGTCCAGCAATTATCCTATAGGGTCACCCCAGGACTCCACTAACAGAAGTAAGAAGTGCTTATTATCTCAAGTATTTGTAGGGTGTTCTCATGTCCTGTACCCCTAAAATGTAATTTTCTATAACTCTTTACATGTTCCATTTTTTGTTTGGGGGGCATATAAGTATGCTTTAATAAGATAAATGCATGCATGTTTGTTAATGAAGAAATTATAGATAACCTTATTCTTGACAGGCTTAATAAGGGTGACTTCTAGATGTGTACAGGACATATGGTTTACAAGGTTAGTTGCTTAGAAGGCAAAACCAGAACAATTTAAAACCTCGGATGTTGGGTTGATGGATTTGTGACAAGCTAACTAAGGCAGTGGATTCAGGTTGTGGAAATGTGAGCTATAGGCCTCCTCTTGTATGAAGTGTTTACATCTTCTCTGTCCATTTAGTGTCTGCTTTGTGCACATCTTGGCGGTAATGGGGAGACAAAAATTTGGTAGTCTGGCAAATACTTTCTAAAATGCTTCCCTAGCAATATCATTGTGCATGTTAACCTCTCAAGAGTGAGGAAAGATCTGTGAAAGTGGTTTCAGCAGTGAGCACTTTGCTAGTATTTGAGGAACAGCCAGTTGGATCCCACACCTAGTTAATTTTTGGTCTATGTTACTCTTTCAGATGCTGGCTGTGACACAATACAGCCTGTCTAAGTGGCTGTTTATAATATGGTGAGAAATGTTGAACAAACACAATCCTGCCAGACACTAATCTAAGTTTCTCCCAAGAAAATAACAAACTGCCTCTTAGGAGGTCATTTGTACGAGTTACACCAATGATAAGCATTGATATTACCAATACACATCTAATGACTCCCTTTATTCAAATGAAATATGGGCAAGTGGATATTCTAGAGGTTGCTAAATCAAGTGAAAGAGCTTCAGTTGTTCAAATTTGCCAAGCTTCTTTCTTAATGGAAAACATAATACTGGTTGACAAGACCACTAACCAAATGGCCTCTTCCATCCTTACTGGAACAGAGGGGAGAATATAAAACAGAGAAAGAAAATCTAAACACTGTGCTTTAAATCAAAAGCCTGTGCAGCTTGCCCATCCCAATCTCTGCCATCTACCAAACTCTTCTCTTGGTGAGCACACATTGAAAATTCAATTAAAATTCGACAGTACCGTTTTTGCAAGTTTTACCCCATGCTCATAAGTGAGAGGTTTTTCCTTCATGTACAGCAAACGGGCCAAAGTTTTGGGGTCATCACGAAGATCAATCTAGCAAAAAACATACATGTGATCAACTCATTAACTTTTTCACTCCTTACCAAATTTTAATTTTTAAATTTATTTAATGAATTAATTGATTTTTTCCTTACCAAATATTTTAAATGGTCATATAACAGACTTCTCCTATTAACATTGAGTTTTCTGTAAGTAAGTATGAACATTTTGCATCTAAACAAATAAAATAATTTCTTTTTACGTGAAAACAGCATATACTTCCCCCTTCAATTACCTTGGGAAGCTGAGAACTTACTCTGATGATTGTCTTGCTGGCTTCTTAAATGATTTGAAATTTCCTTTTTTGGATCCAATTTACAGGCCATGTAAAAGATTCTTTGTCTTATTACCTTAGCAATGGTAAGGTAATATTACTTTGGTCCCAAATGATATTAACCAACTGAACATTGTATAATAGTTCATTTCTTAGTTATGAATTCTACTGTGGGTATGTCTTCTCTAAATCAAATCTCTGCCCTCCACGAGATGAAGATTTTCCACCTGTGAGGATCTGAAGGTGAGTCCCAAGGAGGAGTTTCTAAAGGACTTTCTTCAGGAATAAGATTAGTCTTTGCAAACATAGAACTATTTTGAGGATAACATACATATAATGCATTGTTTGTAAGTGCCTTTGAATTGATTCTGACTCATAGTGACCCTGTACAGTGTTTCCAAGGAGCAGCTGGTGGGTTTGAACTACCAACCTTGTGATTCACAGTCCAGTGCTTATCCTACAGCACCACACCAGAAGTCCATATATTTAGGTTGGTTGGTTATGTGCCGTGAAGTCGGTTCCGACTCATAGCAACCCTGTACAGGGTTTCTGAGGCTGTAAATCTTTACAGGAGCAGAAAGCCTCATCTTTCTCCTGTGGAATGGCTGGTAGTTTCGTACTGCTGACCTTGAGGTTCGCAGCCCAATTCTTAACCACTATGCTATATTTGGGTTAGGTTTGATAAATTAAATATCCTGTTTGCTTTTAAATCTCACTGTACATGTATGTGAACCCATGCATTCATGAATGGGTGTGAATGTCTGTATGTGAGAGCTCTTGTCCTAAAGAAAAACCAATGCATTCATATATTGTTGTTAAGTGCTGCTGAGTCAGTTCTGATTCATAGTGATCCTGTATAGGATTTCCAATGATTGGCTGGTGGGTTTGAACTGCTGACCATGCAGTTAGCAGTCCAGTGCTTATCTTGCAGTCCAGTACTTATTCTACAGCGCCACACCAGGAGTTCTATGTATAAGCATATTGCTCAGCTCTTATAATTTGTGCTTTAGGGACTTAATTGCTCAATTTGGTGCCCATCTGTTATAAAACAGGCTCAGATGCCTCAAAGGTGTTTGAATGTCCCATCACATATGTTGGCAGCAGGGATCCAAGCTCCATCAATAAACATGATTAAACATTATCAGCTGAAATTTAAGGCAAAAAAACTTAATTCAAATAAACACATATCTGTAATACAAGAACATTAATTTATGAATGTGTGAATTTTTCTGCCTTGTCCTTGGCTAAACAAATACACTGTGTGTTTGCATATTTTTATTAGGAGATATTTTGCTTCTCTTTATGTTTTATTGAAATTTCTCTTTGTTAAGCCCCAATATAAACTGGGAAATACACAATGAGACAACATATGAAATTGATAATAAGTAGGCCCTTTGGTATTAGTACATTTCTATGCTTTGGGGTAGTAATTTGGATTTTAAAAAGCAAAGAACAAAATCCATTTAAAATATATGAGGTTGGAACAATTGTTAATACCTTTGTGCAACTGACTTACTGTTGGAAGTTGAAACTATGTAACTTTATTAGCTTTTAGAATACTTTAAAGGCTATTATAATCACAGGTTTCCTTATCTGGCATACCGGTTTAACTTTTCTAACATCTTATTAGACTGAGGAGTTTAAAGGCAATAGAGAATAATGCATTTCTATCTTCTTTCTCTAGAAGTGCTATTAAGGTGTTCCTGTCATAATTTGCCCATTTTGATCACTGGGGTCATTTTGACATTCACATCTATTTTGTGAATCAAGCATTTCAGATATTAAAAAAAATAGTAAGTAACAAGTACAATTGACAATCTCACCCATTGCCCTGGGGGGGGGGG